GCATTAAATATTTTCTTCATCAGGAACATAATTTTACTAACTGTGCTAGATAAAAGGCAAGAAATTACAGATGTTGAAGGATTTCAGTGGAGGCTGGAATGGTACCACATCCTAAGTTGGAGAGGATTTCTGAATAGCGATAGACCTGAAAGGTGCAGAATTTCATGGCATAATTTTTGTCTGTGAAAAGCAATAGAGGTAGAGTAGCTCCAAAGTATTTCAGTATAGTGTTTAGGCAGGCTGTTTGTGTATTTACCACTTGAGCTTAAATTCAGCTTCCTGTCCTGCATGAGAAACAAGGATGATATTTTTTTCTGTGGCTCTTAAAACTCTTGAAACAAAGAGCAATGTTTTTAAAACACTTGGAAGATAAAGTGCAAACTATGTTCTTCAGTTTCTTGAAGTTTCAAATGCAAACTGTTCATGTACGTATATATGAGCAGATTCTATACCAGCTCTTCTGATACATAGACAGATTTTTGAATAATCTGTGACAGTATGGCAGCAGTAATATAAATGATACCTGTGCAAAACATGGGCGACAACAACTAAAAATATACACAGAAACATATCAATACAAGTTTTTATTTTCCTTTTCTGCAGTTTGCCATATAGTGGTTATGGCCATACAGGTGTAGTTCTTTTTAAAAACAAGAAGTTGTACTTCCTTGTTATTTTGTTCTCTTTTCGAAGGACTGAAAGAATTTTTTTTTGAAGCATGGTGATAGAAATGTGAGTTGTGTTTGAGCATTCAACTGTTAGAAATGGAATTTTGTTTAGTTTCATAGAATCACTTAAAATTTTAGAGGAATTAGAATTAAACAATTAGTGATCTCATTCTGGGACATGTTTGAAAAATTATGCTTGGAGATACCATGAATTATTTTGCTAAATACAAATAATAATATGCAGTTAATCTGTCGGGAAACATACGTACATGGGGAGGCCCACATGCATTCTCTAAAGCAGAAATTACTTATGTAATTAGATTACACAAAAGAGAGAGAGGAAAGATCGTGGCCTTGTCCTTCAGCCTCCTGAAACGTTTCAGTTAGTACAGTGTGAATGCACAAATCCCCAGGATCAGGTCCTTAATGTACTATTTTGACACAATCAGTTCACTTAAGTATTTTTTGAAGTCCATGGATAAATAACTTCTCAGGTTTTCTGCATGCATAATTTCTTGCTTCAATAGCCTGAGTTCTGTAGAATAGTCTCATTAATACCTGGATCTACGATTGTATCCTGCTTCTATTGAAGCCAATGGCAAAATTGCTGTGGGAGCAAGAGTGGGTCTGTAATTGAGTTAATAGGGTCGAGTGTTATTACATTGTTGAACTGGCACTCGATGCCATTAACATCAACCAGCCAAAAAAAGAAAAATCTTTAACAGTGAATAATGTAAGACAGTATTAAATGTTGCTTTTATAACACTTTATGAGGGAGTGATAAAGCAATTGGAAAATTAATCATAAGGGAAAATATTGGAATTTGAAATACAGTCAGAGGAATCATTACTGTTCATTAATTTATGTGTAAATACTGGTGTTTTCCAGTGGAATTATAAAATGCAAGTGAAGTGAAATGGCTGGCTTCATTGAAGGCATTTTGCTGTTATCATCATCACCGTTTAATTTGTTTACAGACTCAGCATTGGGCTGATCCACATGGGGTAGTATTAATAAACAAAGGATTTGACTCCTGCTTGTATGGCAGCAATTCTGGTTACCATGATAAAAGTGCTCAAGGAAGATGTGGGAAGAGAAAGATTTATTGTTTTGTTCATTCACTGAAGTAATGGCATTGGAACTAAGTACATAATAGCAAACCAGTAAAACTCTGTCAGTGGGTTACGCATCTGTCTTGAGAGCTTTATTGATGGACTCTGGCAGAGAGCAAAGTTGAATACTTCAAGCAAAAACATTGTTGTTTTGACACACAATTAATATTTTCTGTAGACTTGCATGCATATGTTCTGTCTGTTTGTGCCAGGAACAATGTGTACGGAGGAAGATCAGCCAAAACAGACGTTATCAGTGCTACAGTGAGCAGATTGTACCCTGGAACTGCCCAAACTGCTGAGGTCCCTATGGAACAAGGGATGTGAACTCAGCAGGTTGTTGGGTTGTGAAGTGCAGCTCAGTGGCAGTATTTGGCTATGGAAGATTAAGTTTGGACATGCAGTTGAGTTTTCACCTCTATGTAGGCAGTCATACTGTTTAACTATGCCATTAGTCTACATTCATGTAGGGGGGGGGAAACCAAAAGAAACCGAAAACCACAAAACAAACAAACAAACAAAAAAACAACCTGGCAACTTTTTATTATTGTTATTATTATCATTAGTATTTTTCCTAGATTGCAGTGTTGGACAAGCACCAAAGTAGGATTACTTTGAGCTAGAGACCATACAGATCTATATCGTGTGGAAACGGAAGATTGGAATATAAGAGGGGGAAAAAATTTTATTAAATACATGTAGGTGTAGTTCCATTCTTCTAAAATATCACAGATCCTAAGTGCTTCTTTTCTGTTGCTACTGTTTCAGTTAAGCGTAGCTGTTCCAGGGTGTATGGCAGATAAGTATACAGAAAATAATAATAATTAGTATTCCTTTTCTAAGAGAATAAATGTTTTTATTTGGGTTTGAGTGTAGCTTTCTAGTGCTGTTAAAATATGTATTACTATGGCCTTGAAATTTCACAAAAGTTGTTTTGAACCATCTTGATTTCAGTGAGCGTTGTCTAAGAGACAAAAGGCAATTCCATAGGCACTCAGTACCTGTTACACTGCTTCCTGCAGGTGGCCACAGAGGTGTATGCATTGCCTCAGAAACACAGGAATTGTTAGTGGTACAAGTAGATACAATGACTGATCCATAATTGACTTGATATAATACAACAGTGGTGTCTTTCCAAAGCTACAGGATGACAAAACAAAATCCCAGTATTTTTCTTCTTCTAACTTAAAGTCATGTTACAGAGACTAAATAATTCTGCAAATGCCACAAAAAATCAGATGGCCTTGTCTTATAGTTTGTTTGTTTTTTTAAATTCTGTGTTCAACAATGATTTTTTTTTAAGTATTGGATTGCACTAGATTTAAAATGGTATACATGTTAATTAAGCCATTGATTACATGTAGCAGTGAAATGGACAAAATGGCTACACAGCTTCTTCAGCAAATCAAATTATACTGGATGTTCTGACAAACAGATGTTGCTTTGTTCTGGGGCTTTTTTTGTTTTAAACCCGGTACAGCTCCTATTTAACTTGACAGAATACTCCCTTTGACTCCAGTTTGAATTTTGGATCAGGATCTAACTATGTAATTGCTTGTAAATTAGAGATACATTTTTCCTTTACAAACATGGCAATTGGTGGTGCTGCTTTTGCAGTAAAATGCTAGATGTTGTCTTTGGTGTGGGTGGCTTCTAACTCTTTTTTTTGCATTAAGGCTGTATTATCAAAGACAAATAGACATGTCAGTAATCACGGATTTTAGGAAATTCTATTTAGCTGTTCTATTAAATGTGTTAATTTCTCATGGCAGAAGAGTTGGCATGGTTTGATGGAACAGAACCTAGCTTGAAACCCGAGTCTTTATGACCCCACTTAATTGTTATTACATCACTCACTCCTCTTTGCCTTCTGGAAAAGACTAGAGAAACTGGCAGAATACAATTAGTGAATTCTTTTATAACTTTCCCAACTGATAATGTTAAAATTAGCTCCATTAGTCATTGTAAAAACATCCCAAATAATTACGTTAATCTGAAGTGGTTGATTTAAAAAAAAAAAAAGTAAATTTGTTGTTGTTATTCCTTATACAGGCAAGAATCATTGCTGACTCAATAGTCAGTTTTATAAAAGCAATTGGCATACCACATTTATCTTACCAAGAACATGACTGACTGTGGAAAATGAGGTATTGAGAAGCTATATCAGATCAAGACCAACTGATCTTATGAGAATAAAGTATTTTTGCATTAAGGGACTAAATAAAACAAAGGTCAATGTAAATGCTAAGTTCAGATTTGATGATTAAAATGTCTGAAGCTAAAGGTTAGGCTAGTTTTCCTTTGGTGATGGTGGGACTTAGATCAAAACTACTTTAATTCAAAACTGTTTTCTAAAGGTGCATGGACCTCAATGGTATTAACCGTTGATGAAATAAGACTATTATTCAATTGCAAATTATTAATGAAATGTTATTTCTCTGATGTGTTTTTCAATACTGATTTTAAATTTTTCTTTGTAAGAGACAAGAAAAAAATTATGTAATGCATTTTTTTCTTCTCAATATTTTTTTTAATATTTAGGTATTTGCCCAAATTATGTGTGGGGGTTTACTAGTTTGAATTTATATGATTGATCAAAAAGGCATTTTAAAATTTCCAGCATGTGTGTATAAACTTCTGTATTTATATAAAATTTTATAGGATGCAAAACCAATAAATAAATCCTTAATAGCTCTAATGTATGGTGATGTTATTTCAAGACAATAGAAAGCACTCCAGCTTCTCTAAATCAGATTATGCTATTTTTAATCCATAAAGGACCCAAACACATAGCATTTCTAAGGCACACACCACAGCAGTTTTCAGGAAAGCTACGTTAGTGTGGAAAAATAAGATATTTTACATATTGGGGAAATATCCTGGACACACTGCCTGGTGTCCTGCAGGGTTAACTGTTGGAGATTTGGGCTGGTCAGTGATGTCACAGAAAGTTAATTGACAACATTACTGTAGGATCACAACTCAAGTATTTCTAAGTTGACTTTTCCTTGGATCGTACTGTGTATTTGTTTTGGAAGCAAATCACCTACCTAGGTATCGTAAAGCTTAGAATATCAGTTGTTTCAGTGTTGAGCTGACTTCATATTGCAGCAGCTTTATTGAACCAAGTGCTAGTCTAAGCTTTTTACCAAAAGCTACTTTTTCATGTCCCGAACCAGCAGTTCCTAAGTAGTAATCAAATTCTCTATTTATTCTAGGTTTTTAAGAAGATTCCCATTGCCTATGCTGAGAAAATTGGTTCTAGGCACCTCTGTCTGAGAATATGAAAGAAAAAGCAGAATGTGCGTGGATTTAAAATTACTGGTTTTATCAAGTTGTGGAGTGAGAAGTACTGGGGAAACAGTTTGCTCTGTTGCTCACTGCAGATCTGCTACAAATTGTTTCTGATGCAGCTGAGAAAAATGCAGACCCTTAAAAAGGAACACGGACCTGTTGACACAAGTAGCAATGTGGACAAAATTATGGTACTTAAGTCTACTTTAGCAGAAGTGTCTGAAGAATTGTCTACAAATGAAGACATACTACTTGGTGAAGCAAGCAGTGGAAAAAGCAAATCTTCAGCTTGCCGGAGAAAGCGAGAATTCATTCCAGATGAAAAGAAAGATGCTATGTATTGGGAGAAAAGGCGGAAAAATAATGAAGCTGCCAAAAGATCTCGTGAAAAACGACGGCTAAATGACCTTGTCTTAGAGAACAAACTAATTGCACTGGGAGAGGAGAATGCCACTTTGAAGGCAGAACTGCTTTCATTGAAACTAAAGTTTGGTTTAATTAGTTCTACAGCCTATGCCCAAGAGATACAGAAACTCAGTAGCTCAACAACAGTGTATTTCCAAGATTATCAGAGTTCCAAGTCAAGTATTAGCTCATTTGTAGATGAACATGAACCATCTATAGTTGGTGGCAGTTGTATTTCTGTCATTAAACATTCTCCTCAAAGCTCAATGTCTGATGTGGCTGAAATATCATCTGTAGAGCATAATCAACCAAGTCGCATACAAAGCAACTGCAGAAGTCCTGAAAATAAGTTCCAGATTATAAAGCAGGAGCCCGTGGAACTAGAGAGAGAGACAAGAGATGACAGAGGTTCATACAAAGCATCCATATATCCAAACTACATGGGAGCCACCTTTAATGTGTACTCACATTCTCCTCCTCTTTTGCAAGTTAATAGGTCCTCCAGTAACTCCCCCAGAACATCAGAAACTGATGATGGTGTGGTTGGAAAGTCATCTGATGGAGAAGACGAACAGCAGGTTCCTAAGGGTCCAATCCATTCCCCAGTTGAACATAAAAATGTTCATGCAACAGTTAAAGTTCCAGAAGTGAATTCGTCTGCTTTGCCTCACAAGCTTCGAATTAAAGCCAAAGCCATGCAAGTTAAAGTGGAAGCAATGGATAATGACTATGATGCAACACAGAAATTGTCATCACCCATTGATATGTCCTCAAAAAGACATTTTGAGCTTGAAAAACATGGTGCACAAAACTTGGTGCATTCTTCTCACACTCCTTTCTCAGTTCAAGTGACTAACATCCAAGACTGGTCACTTAAACCAGAACTCTGGCATCAGAAGGAACTCAACGTAAAAATTCAGAGTGGTTGCAAAACTGGAGTTGTTGAAGTAAAGGACAATATCTACAATGTCTCTGAGTCAGAGAACCTCTATTTGAAGCAGGGCATAGCAAGCTTATCTGCAGAGGTTGCTTCGCTTAAAAGACTTATAACCACACAACAGATCTCTGCATCAGACTCTGGTTAAGTTACTACTGACTAAAGGCTCATTGTTTTAAAGGATGTCATTTGCAGTAGATCAATACATTTTGTATTATGCTGAATTTTCACTGGACTTGTGATGTCATTTCACTGTAATGTTCACATAATGTCTGATTGGTGTCTTTTTGTGCACAAATTATCATGAAGACTAGGTTGTGTTTGATCACTATGCCTTGTGTATAGTCAAGTAGCCTGTACAAAGGCTGTATATAGTAAACTTTATTTTCTTTTTTTTTCTTCTAAAGTGTGCAAGTTACCAGTTACAATAAAATATTGGTGACAAACACAGAACATCTACTCCAGTTCAGTTGATTTTATGAACTTGTAAATAGTTGTTAACTAAAAATTGGCTTTTTCTTACACTGTGCTCAACTTCACTTACGTGTTTGGTTTTTACAGCCTAACAACCAAATTACAATTTACAACATCTGTAATTCTTCTGGCCACCTTTTTCCTTAACACATTTTTTAGAAGAGAAGAGATTAAATTAATCTTTATAAATGAAACAGTACCAGTTTATAGCCTTAGCCTTCTTTAACTTATTTATAAGTAGATGTTAACCAAAACCCATGCAAATTCTTACCTAGTAACTAATACCAACCACCTTGGTTTTTTTTCTATGTCAAATAAGGCAGTAATGAGTTACCTGAATGGTAACTTTATTGTGACAAACCATTTTTTCAATATTATAACTTGGTGTTTTAGATGGAATTGGTTAAGTTTGAGTTGTGCATTTGCGAAGTTTTCGGAGCCTTGCAGTGACAGAATTGAACAATGCCATCTTTGTCAAGAGGTGGTTGGGGTGCAGCTGTGGGAAGAAGTATGCGCTGAAGACTGCATGAAAGCGTCTGACCCTCTCGCATACCACAGTTCTTTCCATGACACCTGTAAATGAAGGATAAGGCAACTGGATCTCTAAACTCTGAGCTGAACCAGGCAAATAGCTACATAAGGGGCAGGCAACAGTAGTGGCAGAGTGAGAACAGATCACCTGCTTGTTTAGCTCCCAGTGTGGGACGAAATGCAATTGTACATGTGACATAAGTCTTACTATCAGTTTGGCCTTTTTTTTTCAATGGCTTAGTTAATTGAATTGGAATACCCTGACTCCCTACAGGGTGTTTTCCAAGAGCTTAAATGTAAAATGGAAGCTGTATGAAGAACTGCACAACCCGGATGCTAGTAGCCCCTTGCAGTTGATGCAGATGATAAGTTCTTCACATGATAACTGGACAGGGCTGCAGTGGTCTTGGTCTTTGAGAAGAGCTATAGAACCATGGAGGCTAGAATTGCATGACATGTCCTTGGTTTGGCTTACACTTTAAAATTGAAAATAAGTTATAAATAGAACATAGTCTTGGCAGAGGTTCTTCTCATGATGCTCCCCCCTTCTTTTAATGTACTAATCAGACTAACAAATAAGCTTTTTCTGAAAAGGCTTTTTATTGATTTGCCATGCTGCATAATGAACAGAACCTTTCTATAGACATAAAATACTAATCAAGAAAACAATAGGTATTGTTTTTTAATTGATACTTGACTTGAGTGAGAGGAACTTTGTCAGTTTTTTTTGGGGATATGAAGAGGAGTCTGAGTTACTCCTGATAGCTCTGAAGCTTGGTCCAGCAGTCAAGGCAATGGCAAACCTCCCTGATGTCAGCAAGGCCAGGATTTGATTCTGTACCTTTTCAGGAGCTGATGATTTGTGTTCTGGAAGGACCTTGGCACAGAAATCACTGGTACTTTCTGAGCTTTTTTGAGCCTTCTAACTGCTGTGCTGTATTTGTGGAATTCAGAGTTAATAAACTGTTATTCTTTTTCATGCCTTAATAATACAATAGACCCCATAGCTGGGTTCTGTGTGTATTTGGTAATTAATATAGATGACATTTCAATGTTTCTGAAAATAAGCTCAGGATTATTGCATGAAATGTAAAAATTTGCATTGAATGATGGGGATATGAGACATGAGGCAGTGATTGCTACTGTCTCTTTGCTTGCTAAGTATCTTCTGTAAGCAACAATAAAATTCTTTAAATATTTTGCATATTATTTATCACATGTAATGTGTTCAAGGAGAGGACTTAAAACTCTCGGTGTTGCCATCTGTGTAAGCCTAGATCTATTGTTTTGGTTTGTTTGGGTTTTTTTTCCCACTTCTTGTTACGGTTGTTTGTCATAATGGAAGAATGTTGTCCTCTTTCTAGCTCATTATATATTTTGTGTATCTGTTTTGTGCAATTAATACTTAACAGTAATGATGTAGTTAATTTGTTGAAGGATGTCATTGCAAGAAAGTTATAGCATGGAGCTTAGGAGCACAATCAGATGTTATTTATACTCCCTTTATACCTTAGTGTTATGCTTCATTTGAAGAAAGAAATAAATAATTTGTCTTTTGTTCAAAACTAGATTTAATTACAACATGATTTTCTATTATGTTTATTGTCCTACTCCAACAAAGAGGCATTAGCTGCAGTTGATAACAAACCTTCCTTGTGCTGAAGTTACTATTTCTCCAGCTACTATTTGGAGTTACCTTCCACAGATAGTATTCATGTTGGAGTGTGGGTGGTACATACAAAGCCCCTCCTGCTCAGCTGCGGTAAATGTGATGCAGATGGCCTCCTTACCCATCTTTAGCCTGCTTCCCTTCAGGATGTGATACTGGGAAAGGTGGGGAGTCACACTGTCTGGAGGGAGGGGCAGAACACAGTGGGACCCTGCTCCCCTGCTCCAGCTTTCTGCTGGTGCACAGATACCTATCTGTGCCCTTCCAGCCTGCCTTCCCTGTGCTGTAGAAAACAACATCAGCCTCCATGAAAAGAATATCCTTGGCTGGTCTACCAGTCCCTCCACCAGAGACTGGAAAGTGGGTTTAAGCATGAAATGGGCTTTACCCAAGTGGGTATAAACAGGTATCACATCCTCTTACATTATAAAAACTTTTGGAAACTCAGTGATTAACTCACAAAACAACATAAACTATGCTGGAAGTGGAATGTTTCTCACGTGAAGGAACATGGATGGCTAGAAATTAACTGGACTATGACTGTACTGTAGCTTCAAATGAGAATGTTAAGGTAGACAAGACACAGAAACTGGGAACTCCAGAGACTTATCAATATAAATTGACATTTTTCATGGAAACACAGGAATTGCCATGCTAGTTAGTTTGGTTATCACGGGGCCAAACCTTGCCCGTGATAACTGTTAGTACGAAAGGCTTCAACGAAAGTTTTAAGAAAAGTCCATGGCAAATAACTTGATAAGCAAGAGCTTTTGTTTTCTTTGTGAATCAACTTGTAGCTAATCAGTGTTGCAAGGTGTGAATATCAGGTACTCTGTTAAATCTGCCTAACTGAATATAAACACAGTAATACATCCTCTTGTTCTATCAACAACTATATTTTGGTAGGTGCAAAGACTGAGTGTGGCTATGCCCATACACACACCAAGCCCGTGAATTAAAATTTTCAGAGTTGCCTCAACTTTTTTCCTTTAGTAAGACTTATATATAGTGTGGGATGTCTTAAAATCTTATTAATGTTCTGTACAGCCAGATATCCCCCTGGTGATCAATAGGAGACAGTTAACCTGCAATTCCTGGTTAATCTATTACTGTGATTTTCTAACAGCCCTTAAGTCCATGTGAGCAGTTTCTGAGACTAAAAGCACCTCTTTTCTTGTAGAACTTAACAGAAATGTAAAATTGCACCACAAACATTTCTGAAGTTTCAATAAAGTACCAACTTCTAAAAACCTTTTCTAATTGCTAATACATAAATATGCTGTTGAAATTAGGCAGTGTACAATGAATTTAGCAGAAAACTTACAGAAAATCCAATTAATATGTCCTTTATTAACACCATATTGTTTTAAAAATACTTTTACAGTTTATTGCACAATATGAGCTTGGTAGTTACCAAGGATAGAACACAAAAATTTTTGGTATTTATTACTTAAGAATGAGTAGCACATATTATTCCGCTGTAGCGCCAAATTAAAAGTTAGAAATACTATGGCTAATCCTACATCTTTTAACTCAGTGTTAGATTCTGCTTTCCCTAATGAAGTGGACTTTTTATGTGTGCAATATGTGTCTTAATCAAGATGAGTAACATTGCCAAGATATAATCTTTACAGTTGACTCATGGCACGGACTCCTAGTGATTTTCCTATCTTTAAGGCTAACTCCCTCATGACACAACAGTGACATATGAGTCACTTTATTCGTATCACTGGAGTTACAGGCAACTTGCTCACATATAAAAGAGAAGCCAGACAGATATTTAACTATTATTTATTCAATGACAGCTCTAAAAGAAATTGGTGAATTACAAGCAAAAGCTCAGAGTAGAGGCAAGTTGATTTGCTTGAAAGAGAAAGCATCCAAAGATACTTTGGTTTATGACTCAAAAAAAAAAAAAAAAAAAAAGGCAAGAATACATTTATGCTTTTTGTGATTCAATCAGCATATTGCCTGTGTGTCAATCCCAATAGCTGACTAGGGTTATGGTAATTCCTCCCCCTTATACACTACGGTGCTCCACTGGATCACAAATGGGAAGTGCTCAGGGAAGACACAATGCAAGGCCTGCAATTCTGACATGATTTATGAGGACTTTAATCTCCTGCACACAAGCATCCTTCCTGCTTGTACTGCACGTGAGAGAGATTTGATCTGAGAAAGCCTGCATCAGCCCAAAGGTTCTGGGGTAGCTGAATGGCCATCTAATGCTATCGACAATCAGATAACATGGCAGATTTTTCCTCCACTGTCCCTTGTTACTCCTACAAATGGAGCCACAACTTAAAATATCAGGCAGTCATTACACTTTTCAATGCTTTTCAGGATATGTAAATGCCTCAAGGGGCATGTAAATTAATGACTTACATATGTAAAAAGATCAGCCTACTCTGCTATCTGTATGTGCCAGAGCAGATGTCCCATTTTGCATACATTTCTGAGGCTTTATACTAAACATGTTTCCTTCAAACAATTTAGGTCTCTAAAAGTTCTGTTAAGTTTTGTATATAAATATACTGAGGACATATTGCATTAATTTCCATGGGATTTGTGATAGGCAGCTCTGAAAGCCAGGATATTCATGGTCTGTATAACAATCAGAAAATACCAAAGCATAATATTGTATATGAAATAGCTGAAAAGATGATAAAATGCAATGAGAGCCATTGTAGCAGAACATCGTGCTCCTTTCTCTAGGCCTTGTTCCCATTAAGGATTTAGAAATGCTAGAGGGAGTTTAGAGAAGAACAAAAATA